GTACCTTCAAAGATTACTCATTTTATATATGAAAATAGCTGTAAGGAAAATGAGAAGCACTTGGCTACACACACTATAGTATATGTATGTACGGAGGTATGCCTCACAATTGGATCAAAACATTAAGCTCTAATAGGAAATAGTCTCGTACTTAAATTATCTTCAGAAAGATATTGATGGAATTCAATTTTGGCTGTTAAAAATGCCAAGAATCTTAAACAACATCTGGCTACCTGAGTCAAACAACAGTACTATCTCCAGTGAGTTTTATCTCCCTCCAGGTCCTAAGAGATTGGTGTTCAGCTGACATCACCAAAACTACCACCAATAATGGTATCTTTAGAAAAACCGTGTTGAGAAAATGTTCCAAAAGTTTATCCTATAAGACTAGCCTGGTATGTGGCTTAATGTGGACCATTATTCCTTTCCCTTAATTTGGACAAGGACAAAAATGATTAGATAAGGGCAGCTAGGTGGCGCAGTAGCTAGAGCTCCAGCCTTGGGAGTCAAGAGGACCTGAGTTTAAATCTGGCCTCACACACTTGACATTTACTAGCTGTGTGACCCTGGGCAAGTCACTTAACCCCAATTGCCTCAGCAAAATTTTTATTTTTATTTTATATATATATAAGATTAGATTATGGTTAAGTGCCTACAGCATACAAGGTACTGAGCACTGTGGGTTAAAGTTTAGTATGTAAGCAAGGATTCTCCTGCCTCAAGAAATTTACAATTTAGATGGTGAGTGCATTTAAATATTTGAAAAATTCAATAAACAATACTTTGTTATCATCCTAGATTCAGCTCTCACTTTTACTCATAACTACCTAATATTTTGGCCCCTTTAGCCAATACCAAAGGTATCCATTAAAGGTAATATTTCTTTCAAATAGCATTTGCTTCAACCGGGATATATGATGCATATGCATATGTATAACAGATGACCAAGTCGTTGATTACTACACCAGCGGGTTTAATATTTGCTAGTGAGTGCCAAAAGCAAGTTCAAGCAGCTGGCACTCATAACTCTAATTGCCTATCCCTGCTTGATGTAAAAGAATCAGGTATTCTAACATATGGAGAATAGCCAGCAGATTATTTCATGGCTAATGTTGAATGAAAACTTTAATATTTAGTAACATGTTTCAAATTACCTAGAATATATTTATATAAGTGAAACAAAACCCACCATTAACACTGTGATGGATACCATTAATTGAATTCTACTAAATTAATTTTTTAAAAAGATGTTTTAATCCAAAATTTCTAACATACCCATTAAAGTCTTGTTTTGATGCTTCATTTTGATATAAGTAGTCTATACCAGTTGACAAGTTAATCTTTAAAAAGTGATTAAGTTTTTCAAACACAGCAACTCACTACGATAAGGCTATGATCTGTTAGCAGCAAGTGCAGCAGAAATACAGACACAATTATTGAAGTTTAAGGTATACCACTATCCCTGTCTGCTTCTCTAACCACTTGTGCAAGCAACCTGCTACCTGTCATTTCCGAATTTCACTGATGAACATTCTTCAGAGAAGCATCAACAACTCTGTTAATGAGGCTAAATAATTCTAATGTCCCTAAAGTATTCTTACAGCTTAACTATGATCTTTTTGACCTTTAACTCTACAAACCAAGTTTCTTCTTGTTCACAATACAAGCTTACATTGATTTTTAACTGCTAAGGGCTCCCAAATGGGGCTTTCTGGAAAATAAAAAGCAAAGCTAATAAGACTGCATCTTAAAAATTTTTTCTATGACTTAAAGGGCAGAAGTAGGAAATCAAATCCAATAAAATATTACTAAGCAATCAATAGGCTAGAGTATCACTGCTGAAATTTGACTTTTTCAAGGACACTAGTCTCCTAGAGAACAGGAAATCCTACCAGTTAATCACTGCAACAGATGACCTTCCTGATTAGGCGGAGATATTTCTCAAAGAAGAATCATTGTAATATAAAAAGTCCCAGGGACTGGAGTCAGAAGACTCATCTTCCTGAATTAAAATCTGGCCTCAGATACCTACTAGTTGTGTGACCCTGGGCAAAAGTCCCTTAACTCTGCCTCAGTTGGAGAAGGAAAAGGCAAAACACCCCAGTCTCTTTACCAAGAAAACCCCAAATGGGGTCAAGTAGTCCAACAGGGCTGAAAAATGACTTAACAAACCCTTTAGCAGTTTTTGTTTGACTAAAAAGGTAACAACTTCACCTAGTCTTTCTTAAGGCGAAGGGCCTTTCCAAGTATTTGAATCAAGGGGAAAAGAACAAGCTTAACAGATGAAATGATAGGCTCTGTAGAAACAGAAAAGTATAAAGGCACAATGGATTTAAAAGCCACTTTCTTTGAACCATGGAAAATGGATTGACAGCACAGCTCAGGAAGGCTGCTGGAAGAGCAGTAGATAGAGATAACAGGAGGTAGTTGACAGGAGCAGAGTACAAGAAGAAGGCTTCTAACTTGAGCATTCTAGGTGTGCCTTTAACACAAAAGAACCATAGGAAGCCATCAGAAAAAGTAAAAAAGGTGCATCTGAGTGGTGGGTGGGGGAAGAAGGAAGGAGTTAATGCCACCAGAGCAAAGTCTGGTTTAAAAAAGGTGCTCTGGATAGAGCACTGGCCCTGGACTCAGAAGAACCTGCATTCAAATCAGACCAGACACTTGACGATTACTAGCTGTATGACCCCGGCAAGTCACTTAACCCCAATTGCCTCACAAAACATAACAAAACAAAAAAGGTGCTCTGGTCCAAACAGCTTAAGCAGGGTTTGACTGCTTAGACATAATAATGAGTAAAAAGTCACTTGATAAGATCATAGTCCTATCTCAATGTTAATAAGAAAATGTGACGGGGAAGAATCTGTTAAGAAAATTCATTCCTCATCAAATTTATTCCAGGTCACTAAGGGGTAAAGAGAACAATCAAATTTCTTCTGTAATTTTGTATTTATCTAGTGGAACACTTCTTCCTAATACCACAGAACATTTTAAAAGTTCAAAGATTTCAAATATTAAAAACATGATAATAAGTAGTTTGAATTGTTTAAAATGTTAAAGAGAGTAGACTCCACCAAAGCAGGGATCCCCTTACCTAAACGTTGCATCTCTCCCACTTAGCTAGCACACAGTAGGCACTTATTGTGCATTAAAGAGAATAAACATCTGGGTATGACAAGATGAAAAATCAAAACTTCAAAACTATGGAGGAACAAAGAAAAGTGAAATATATAGAAGAACCAAGAAATGGCAGGCATATCAGGAATATAACCTATACAAATTAATCTACTTATAAAGAAACTAAGTCTTATTGTTATTAGGCCCAAAGTTCATTTTTTAAAAATGAGACAAAACTTCTTAGGAATGAAATTTATCAAAAAAAAAAATAATCAGTCACCTATGCTGGTTTTTACCAATAATATTGATATTACCAATTAACTCAATTGTTACCACACATTTAAAATCACTGAAATTTAGAGTAGGATGGGACCTCAGAAATCTAGTCTAGTCTAGTTCATTATAGAGCTGGAGAAACTGAGGCCCAACTAACTTGCCCAACATTACATGGCTAATAAGTAACAGAAGAGGGACTATACTTAATGAAATTTTAAAAATAAAACCCTTAAAGATTATTAATAATTCCTGGCCTCCCAAAATCTGATCCATGTTTAATATTTTATTAAATCTAAGACTTAAAAGATGAAAAGGTTGTTAAAAATGCACTAATCATTTAAATGGAAAGCTCCTTCCTAATTTACATTTCACAGATAACATACCATAAGAATCAATCACTAAGACAAAGGATTCTATAACACTGAATTAGAAGAGATCATCTCTCAAATAATGCTCTTTCCAGTCCTAATACTGTTATTTAATTGACTAGTTTTACATAAAAACAAGACTTTAAAAAAAATACTAGACATCTCTTCTAAAAAAGCAAAACAGGAGAAACACAAACACAAGCAAATCAAGCCAAACAATTGAAACCAAGATGACAAAATGCTATTATATTTTCTAGGCAGCACACAACATGTGATGGGCACATACACTTATCTAGGGTCTTCTATGATGAAAGAGATGGTGCTGAATCCAAATTACGCCAGAATTCACACGGATGTGCTTGTTGCCAGGCACAACTTAAAGAATTCATTAAAGCTTTGTGCAAGTTTTGAAAAGATCATTTACCCTCAACCTCTTGTAATTAAACACAAGATCGATGTAAAGCTAATCAATATTCAGAAACAAACACAGCGTAAGTCTCCCACCCCAAAGTGTGTTAAAGCAGAGATAAAAAGATAAGCACCTTTTGCCATAAAAGAAATTCACTACTTCATTCCACATTAAAAAAAAAAAGAAAAGCACAGAAAGAAAACCAAAACCTGTCACATTCCTGTGAGAAAGCGGCTGGCTGCAGTTTACAAATTAGTAATGCATTTCTAGTGATTTTCAGCAATCACATTGGATAATGTTAAGAGTTTCTCGCCATAAACAGCTCTGACTACTTTGATACCCTTGTCTTGTTCCATCTCAAATTTCTCAATTTGAAATGTTTTGCAGTAAACCATCTTATGACAAGACTTTAGTGCAATAAACTGATACAAAAGAGAAACAAACTTTTAGATTAACTCTGTATATTTGGCTTAGGATACCTTTATGAAATAGCATTAAAATGTGTCAATTTTCCATGTCGATTTCCCAAGACATGAATTAACAGATTAATTTGCAAATCCAGTTTAATGCAGTGGAAGACAAAATTCCTGAGCATAAATCAGATTTACATGTATATAATTTGAAGGTTAAAAAAAAATCAAATTTCATTTAGATTTAATTTTGTTTTGATGCCCTCTATGCCATTCTAACCACCACGTGAATTAAGCTCCCTCCCAGTTCAAATAAATTACATAATTAAGACCATGTGTAATGACGAGAAACTAGCAGAGTGCAAAGCAGTTCATGCATACAATTTTGCATGTATGCATTCCATACTTAAGCATTCATACCTATCCCAGAGGGTCTTTGATTCCTGTAACTTGTTCAAATGGAACGCTTGGTAGAAAGCAGTTGAAGGATTCCTGTGAGATCCAAGAATCAAATGTAAATGATGTTGAGAATGTACACAAATCATTTTTAAAACATAAAGATGAAGGAATTTAGGCACGTAATTGCTTTCACATTTTTTTAAACAAATGCTGCTTGCTTAAAAAACATGAGTGTGAAATTTGAAATAAAAACTAGCTAACCTTAACCTGGCTCTTCACCAGTAACATCTGTGCGGGATCATTATTTCAGTAATAAACTACAAGACAGAATTCTGACTGAATATTGTTATTATCTAGTTATAAGCATACAGAAACCAATTCACATTCTAGTCAATGTTCTGCATTAACTTGCTGGTTTGAAGTTGAACAAGACATTACTAATATCAGGGGTATTTTCCAAATCTGTGTCCATTTGGTAATCTGACAAGTGTCCTAGTACAGTCTATATATCTAAACCTGTATGTTAAACATTCTAAGTAAAATCAGATATATTTCAAAATATCTTGTTTGCCTTTTCAGGTTATTTCTTTTCCTTGCTAAAAGTGTTTCCTGACTCTTAATGCTCAAGCTGGTGATTATGATAAGATGCCTATTTTCAGAATCTATCCAAGTGCCTGGGTACCTGAAAGGACTGTTTAGCGTTCATCTACCATTGTCACCTTCCTCCCCACTCTCTACTGACCTAATCTGACACTGAATACCCAAGATTCATCCTTGTTTGAAGTCAGGTCTGAGGATGGCCCAAGAACAACCCATCACCAGGAAGCAAGTGCACACACAAACACACATACTCCCAAAGCTCTCCTAGTCCAAAAGGGCACCCAGAAAACTGGGTCAAATGTGACCAAGAACATCTTGTATCTCAACAGAATACTACAATGAACACTGAATAAAACGATACTGTACATAAAAGTACTTTGAAAAGCATAAAAGTATTTTATGGCATCTCCTGGGCACCAAAACCAATCCTTAAGACATCTTTTTTTTTTCATTACCTGTCCTTTCTATTTGTTGTTTACAAATGTTTACATTCACTTCATGTACACAAAGAAGATAAACAGCACATTCTTTCTGTACAGTACAGCATAGGGTTCAGCGGCCAGACATGCAGATCAAAGGGCGTGCACCAAGTGATTCATACAGACAGAAAAGGTGCACACATACACAAAGGGGGTGTGGGTGGCAGTTTATTCCAGTACCCTTTTTTGTGTCATTCTACAGACACGTGTGTGTGGGGTCCACCTTACAGCTTCAAGTATTGCACCACTTTAAAGAAACTCAAGGGGGCAGCTAGGTGGCGCACTAGATAGAGCACTGGTCCTGAAGTCAGGAGGACCCGACTTCAAATGTGACCTCAGACCAAACCCTTTACAAGTTACTAGCTGTGTGACCGTGGGCAAGTCACTTAACCCCAACTGCCTTTAAAAAAAAAAAAAAGAAACACAAGATAGCTTCTTAAAGGGTTGATCCAATAATATTTTCCATCCTAATCCCTGCCCTCTGAGAAATACTGCTCTCGTTCCCTAATGTTGGGAAATGAAGAGTTGACATTTCAAGAAATCTGCTGACAGCCTCCCTCACCTCCCCATACATAGCTAGATTTTGATTTAAATTTGGTTTAGATACAATACACTAATTAGGTCATGGGGTGTTGAGGTTTGGGTTTTTTTCCCCTTGCTGATGAGGAAACTCACTGTCCCCTTAGAAACTGAAGCCTACTCTGCAACTTTAAGGTTACTGGGCACTGACAAGTTCACACAGCCAGAATGTGAAGTTCATGAAAAATGAGGTTCTACCTTCTGTGGCCTCTGTCCCTACCTCTACACTGCCATGCCAAGTCATTGTAAATAAAACTCACTGCCCTTTCTTATCAAACTAGCTGACTTTGCAAAGACGAAGAGTCATAAGGAGTCTCTGCTGATAGTTTTGAGTGAGTCAAGGGCTGCTCTTGGAGTCTGGAAGACCTGGATTCAAACCCTACCTCTGACTTAACCATTTAGCAGCTGTGTGTGCTGGGCAAGTCACTAAACCTGAGCAAGCCCACCTGGAACCCATCTAGAACCAAAGATCCCTAAGTGATGCTCTGATCCATTATTTTGCAGGCTTCACCCATCTCTTACAAGAGAACTTCTCCCTAGAGCCTGGCCGGACTGCTGGTAGCAGCACCAAGCGCAGAATGACGAAAAGAAGCCATATCTTGTCCGATTTTAGTCGAAGCCTCCTCCCCTGAATCTTGTTAATAGCACGCAAGGGAAAAGAAGCTACTTAACCCTGATTGAAGACAAAGATGTGAAAGAACCACTGATCTGCCAGATGTAATGTTAGCAGCCACTCATGGTATTAAAAACCTGGTCTAGTCTTCTCAGTGAATTTTCTGGCTAACAGAATTTTTAAAAATAATTGCTAGGAAAGAAGAGTCTATTTGATTTTAAGGAATATGGTGTTCCTTAGACCTCTCAGAATCATAGAAGGTTTCATTTCCTACCTTAAAGGCTCTTTGGAAGATTTAGGTATATAATGAAATTTTTAAAAGAAAAGTATAAAAATACAAAAACAACCTGGAAGTTATTATTAAATCTGAAAAGCCAAAATTCACAAAAATGGAGTGCTAAGTAACATACTTGAAAAACAGGATGTGATCTCCTTGAAGGTAGGAACTTGTTTCATTTCTAATATTCCTAGCACCTACATATAAGTGGGTTCTTTCAATTTAACTGGGGGACAGAAGGGGACACACACAGAAGGACCATACTTCTCTTAAAGAAATTTAAAAATTTAATTCTTAACTTCATAGAAATGAAATCTTACCAAATATGTTGGTTTTAAATCATAAGCTCAATTTTGCACACATGGATTTCTACATAGTTCAAAACATCTAAAAAGGAAAAAAGTAGTGGCAGCTGGGTGGCACAGTGGACAGAGCCCCTGGCCCTGGAGTCAGGAGGACCTGAGTTCAAATCTGGTCTCAGACCAGACACTTGACACTTACTAGCTGTACAATCCCGGGCAAGTCACTTAACCCCAATTGCCTCACCAAAAAACAAAAAAACAAACAAAAAAAAGGTAAACAGTTTCCTCAATTAAACTGTATTTAAAGATATAGTAAGCACCTGAGACATTCAATACTACACACAGAAATAAAGACTTCAGAACACAAGCACATTTAGTTTGGGGAAATGCTACAGCTAGCTATGTGGGTGTGCGGAAAGAGGAAAGGGAGAGGAAAAGAAAGAAGGAAAAAAGAGGAAAAGAAGCACCACAAAGATGAAATCAATCTTATTTTCTGACACAAGCAGAAACCTAATGTGCCTTTTTTTTTGAACCTCCAATTAGAATAACACCTAAGTTGAAGGGCTTACATTCCTTATAGGGATAAGAATAGAAACAATTGTCCCAAAAATTGATTTATATAAAGAGATTAAAGGAGTTATCTCTGTGAAGCCTAGCTAAACAAGAATTGCAGGGAGAAAGGGGAAATGATAGCTATTTATAAATGCTGAAAGGTCTGAACATCAAAGACTATTTTGTTTCAGAGTGACAAAGTCTAAAAAACATTAAAATAGGGGGAAAATGGTATTACTACCAGCAAGCATTTCAAGGCTATAAACAGCCTACTAAAGACAGATAAAGACACTAACAGGAGACCTGTTAAGAAAACAAACTATTAGAAAGGAATTTTGGATTTGGGGTAGCTTTGTTCACAAATTGTCTTCATGTCCTGTGAGAAGAGGGTTTGAAAACAGTTTTGCAACAACCAATATACCAGCCCTTACCATCAAAAACTTCTGTTCAATTTTCTTCAAGGTGTCAATAAAGGCTGTTAATTTAAATATTCAGTAAAAAAAAAACTCTTTAGAAAATCAAAATTTATTTTTATTATCTACACTTAACTGTCATCTGATCAAAAATGGCTATTTTCCTACAGACCACTTGCAGATATTTTTGAAAATCACTCTGCAAAATATTCATCTGTACCAGTTTACTACTCCCTGTACACATGCCAAATAGAGGACTCATGCCATTTCCAGGCCCCTGAAAGCGGCACAGCAGGAAGTGACTCAAAGCCCAGATAACATATCTATCTTTTTTTTAGCAAGAGAATCTTTGTTGGGAAAGTAGCTATGATACAGGGAGAAAAGAAAACCTCAACTGTATAAAAAAGGGAAGGAAAAAAAAACCCTAGAAGCTTAAAATGAGATAAAGGAACCATGAATCAAAGGGGTTGGTAAGACAAACCTTCCACACAATTTCTCACCCAAAAGCTTACGTCTATGTCTCTCCACTACTTTAAAAAGCTCTCCCTGGATTACAAACTAGGGGAATTATGAAAACAAACACAGTTCTGAATGCCTGAGGCAAACAGTACTACCTATAGGGGCCTAATAATTTCTTAAATTGCAACCTTCCAAAAGGGCTGGTCCCTATGCCTAAAAGCTGATGACTTCACTTTTTTTCCCTTCCATTTCCCCAAAGCAGCTCACTTGGGGTGAGCTTACTTGATGTACAAGTAAGAAGGATTTAACCCACCAATTAAGTTTATTTCTATTTTTAATTTCAGGGATACAGCAGAAAATCCCACAGGGCTAACACTAACAGACCAACAGTCTATAGAAACTCAACCACACACATAAGTTAATAGACCAAAATCTGGTCAGGAGGGCAGTGAACAGACCTCTCCCTAAATCACACTACTCTGGAAGGACAAAAAAAAAAAAAAAAAGAGGTCCCGGACTGAGCTGTGAAAATAGTAGGACAAAAAAAAACACAGGAGAGTAGGCCAGACATCCCTGGCCTCTCCCCCCAGCTCCCAAGGGAGCACAGTCCAACATTAACATAAAATCCAAAGTCAGGAAGGAGGCTGGGAAAATGAGAAAACAAAAAAAGAACTGACCATAAAAAGCTACTACAGTGCCAGGGGAAGATCAAGACTATATACAGTGAGTAAAACACCAATACTATAACAAACTTTGTCATTACTTTTAAACTTGTTTTAAGAAACTTGAATTCTGAATTCACTTAGCATAAAATGCAGT